AGGTGGCTCTCGTGGCTCAGTGGTGCCTCGCTTAATGATCGTCGTAAAGCAGATTTATCGTAATGCAGGGCAATCGTTAAGCGAGGCACCACTGCACCTTGGAAGACAGGGAGAACATTTTAAAACATCTTGACCGGCTTGAGCACTGGGCTGAAAAGAACAGAATGAAATTTAATAGGGAGACGGGTAGAGTTCTACACTGGAGGGGGTGTGTGGAAGTGAAAGCACAGTTACAAGATGGAGGATACTTGGTTCAGGAATACTGCATGCAAGGAGGATTTTGGAATTGTGGATCACAAGCTGAATGTGAGCCAAGAGTGTGATGTGGCTGCAAAAAAGACAAATGTGATTTGGGGATGCATTAACTGAAGTATACAAATCCCATGTGGTATTAGTCCCTCTCTATTCTGCACACTTGAAGAAGGATGCTGACAAACTGGAGCAAGATCAGAGGGGGGGAAACAAGGATAACCAGGGGACTGGAAGCCAAGCCCTATAAAGAGGAAAGACGGAAAGAACTGGGCATGTTTAGCCTTGAGAAAAGAGGAATTCAATTATTTTTTGATTCTGTGCGACTCAAATGTGGAATTCTTGAGTTCAGTCCAATGGTCTAAGGACAAACTACACGGACCCTCAACATTCCCCATCTTGCTGTTCGATCTAACCGCTCTACGTGGCACTTAAAACGAGGGCCAGAAGGTTTGTGCTGGTTCCGGCATTGTTTACCAAAAAATACATTTTGCCTCATCCTCAACGAGTCGCGGAGTCTTTTAGGTGCCCAAGTGGAAAGATGCAAAAGCAAATTAGGATGGAAATTAATGAGCCGTCTCAGCTTCCCAGTGGCTTTTGCAACAAGTAAGGGATTTGGGATTTTCCAAAACCAGACCTTTTGTCTTCACGCTACAGGCAGAGGTGTGAGTGCATTTCAGGAGATCCTTACAAGTCAGTTCCAACTTGACAGCCCAGAATACACAAGGGGACCTAGAATTTTCAGCCTTGCTTAAGATTCATAAATTCCAAGCCGTGGTTTCAGTTGTTAAGTTAATCCATTTTATATTCCGCCTTTCCCTTTTTTTTCCTGCTCTCTTCCACTTTCCCAGAATTACAACCAAACCATGGAGGGCTTTGTACATAAGAGTCTAGACCTTGAACTCCGCAGGTAACTAGCAGAGGCAAGCCGGAATGGAGGTGATGCTGTCATATCTGCTTGTGCCAACCCGGAGTCTGGCTGCTGCATGCTGGACCCGCCAGATGAGTCTTCAAGGGAAGCCCCACGTAGAGAGTATGGCAGTCATTGATCCGGGAAATGCTCCATGCCTGCACCAAGATCTTGAGGGAGCTGTCATCCAGGTAGGGGTGGAGTTGGGCGATCCACTTAAGCGGGTTAAAGGCCAATTTAGACACGGCTGCAATCTGGGCATCCCAAGAAAAAGTTGTATAGTGGTGCCTCGTTTGACTATGTTAATTCATTCCAGCAAAATCGCTGTAGAGCAAAAACATCGTTAAACCAAATAAAAACATCCATTTAAACGTATTGAAAAGCATTCAATGCGTTCCAATGGGCTGAATACCTGCTCGTCCAGCAAAGATCCACCATACGGCGGCCATTTTTGGTGCCTGTAAAGCGAGGAGGAATCCGTGCTAGAAAACAGCAGGGGGCCATTTTCTTCAGCCGGTGGCCATTTTGAAACCCAATGACCAGCTGTTTGCTGATCCTCGTAAAGCGAAAATTGGTTCCCGAAGCAGGGAACCGATCACTGCACAGCGGAAAAAAAAACCCATTTAAGCCATCGTTTTACGATTGCAAAAACCTAATCGTACAGCGATTTCCTCATTAAGCGAGGCAATCATTAAGTGAGGCACCACTGTAATTCCAAACTTGGTCTCTCCGTGGGAGGACAATGCCATCCAGCCTAGGGACCCCCCTCAACTGTTTGACCGACCTCTCCCCCAAAACACAACTTTTATCTTGCCCTGGTTGAGGACGAGAACCTGCTCACCCTGACTCATTCCGGTACCAAAGCCAGGAAACGCTCAAGTGTCTAGATAGCATCCAGTACAGGAGTGGTATCTCATGAGAAGAGAAGACTCCCTGGAAAAGCCCCTGATGTTGGGAAAGTGTGAAGGCAAGAGGAGAAGGTGACGACAGAGGACGAGATGGTTGGACAGAGTCATCGAAGCGACCAACATGAATTTGACCCAACTCCGGGAGGCAGTGGAAGACAGGAGGACCTGGGGTGCTCTGGTCCATGGGGGTCACGAAGAGCCGGACACGACTTAACGACTAAACAACAACAGGGATGGGAAAGGACAGATAGAGCTCCTGATGATTTCCCCCAGTGACTAGATGTTAATCAGCATTGGGGATAACGATGATCCCTGAAGAACCCCACGAGTGAGGGTCCAAAGGTCCGACACATCCTCCCCAGGCTGCACTGTCGAGATGTGGTCCCCAAGGATTGGAATCAGTGCAATGCTAGGGGCCCCGATCCCCGGGCTCCCTTAAAAGGTCATCCTGCAGCACAATCCATGTTGTCTCTGGACCCACCGTGGTCTGAATCTAAACTGGACTGGATCAAGGGCCATCCTGCTCCTCCAGGTAATGCCTGCAGCCGGTTTTCCCCACCCCCTTGATCCCCTTGCCTGGGGATGGTATATTGGGGATCAGACAGAAAGTACGCATTAAGATGGTCCGAAGCCCGCTGGGAGCATTTGATGACGGGTTGAACGATGGTTTCTTTAATGCGTGGAGGGAGGGTACCCTCCGTCAAAGATGCATTTACAATATTCATGACCCATTCCATCATAGCCCCTTTGGCAGCTGTTATCAGCCAAGCTGGGCGAGGGGTCAAGAGAGGAAGAGGTAAGCCACTGGGTCAAATAACCAATCATGCAGAAAGAGAGAGAGAGAGAGAGGGCAGCAATGGCCATCCCCGGGACAATCGATCTGCTGGTGGAGTCAAGGTCAGTACAGATGGCCTCAATTTTTGATTTGAAAAAGGCTGCATATGGATGATTGGAAAAATCAGAACGAGGCGCCAATGGACTGGAGTTAGCGAGGTTGTGAACTGCCCAGAACAACTCTGCTTGTCGGTTTGTGGCCTCCCCTGTGATCCTGATGTTAAACACCGTCTTTGCTGTTTTTAGGACATTGGCATATCTTCTGGTCATGATCTTAACGGATTATAAGCCAATTGATCCCTCCTCCACCTGCTCTCTAGCCCTCTCCTTGCTGACTTCATAGCCCGCAGCTCCTTGGTTATACCAGGGGGAACAGCCGGCTCTGATTGGCGATCATGTCAGCTGCCTGGGTTGTCTCTTGAAACCATTTATCAACCTGAGCTTTGACAGGTCAGCCGAGTTACCCTCCCAAGGCCTCCCGAAACCATTCGGGGTCAAAAAGCCTGCAAGGGCAGATCAATTTCACTGGTCCATTCTCGGGTGGGATTTGCCATGTTGTTGTGACCCCCTGGACCAGAGCACGCCAGGCCCTCCTGTCTTCCACCGCCTCCCGGAGTTGAGTCAAATTTATATTGGTCGCTTTGGTGATCCTGTCCATCCATCTCGTCCTCTATCATCCCCTTCTCCTCTTGTCCTCACACTTTCCCAACATCAGGGTCTTTTCCAGGGAGTCTTCTCTTCTCATGAGATGGCCAAAGGATTGGAGCCTCAGCTTCAGGATCTGTCCTTCCAGGGAGCACTCAGGGTTGATTTCCTTCAGAATGGATAGGTTTGATCTCCTTGCCGTCCAGGGGACTCTCAAGAGCCTCCTCCAGCACCACAGTTCAAATACCTCCTGGAAATACAAGGGGACGACAGAGGACGAGATGGTTGGACAGGGTCATTGAAGCGACCAACATGACTTTGACCCAACTCCGGGAGGCAGTGGAAGACAGGAGGGCCTGGCATGCTCTGGTCCATGGGGTCACGAAGAGTCCGACACGACTTAAAGCAGACCTGGCCAAAGTGCGACCCGAGGGCCACATACGGCCCGCAAGCCGCTCCTGTACGGCCCCTCGACAGTTTTGAACATCAAAACCATTTATAGCTTTTTGTCCAGAATTGATCAGTTGCTTATCTCCAACATACAAATATCTTTTGTATGTTTTGCATATCTTCAACATACAAATATCTTTTATTGTTTTGTAATTGAATCTTAATTGTTGTAAGCCACCCGGAGACCTTTCGGTAGAGTGGGTGGCATATAAGTTAAAGAAATAAATACCACAAAAACCTCTTTAGTACTTGTGAAGATTAACAAGTTTAAAATAAAAAACAATCATAACATCACTGTTTCATTTTATTTTTAAGTAAAGTTGGTTCGGCCCCCAATCACAGTTCAGATTTTCCCCCCTATAGAAATTAATTCCCCACCCCTGACTTAAACACTAAACAACAGCAACAGGAGGTAGTCACCAGAAACGGCCACTAGAGGGAGGAAGAGATCATATAATGTCCTACTGTAATGCTGAAAGTAACTTTTCCCAGATCCAGATAAGATTAACAGCCTCTACTATGTTTCTGTTAGGAATGTGTGACGCTTTTCGATATCTTTTTTTCTCCCACACTTCATCTAGTCCTTACTTCCTAAAAATGTAACCGGACCCTTTATGCATTCCAGGACACGCATCTTGATGGAAAAATGCAAGTGGGTATCCCAAAATGTGCAAATCTGAAAAATGGCGTATATTTCCAAGAGGCACAAAATATTCCGAACAAACTTCACCCAGTGCATGTCATCAATCTGTACGATTTTTAAAAATGCATCCATGAAAGGGAAGAACGATCCACTGCCCAGAGTCGTGGGTCGCCACTAAGTCACGTGGGATACCGATTAAACAAATAAATAAAATGAAGTGAAAGTTTTTTTTTTTTAAAAAAGGACTTTAAAAAGTAACTCACATCCCTCAAAATGGATGGGGGAAAAAAAGATATAAGATCCGAAACCATGTTGGCAAAGAGATGAAACTGCAGGGGCAAATGATGTAAACGAGCACATCCTTAATGCAGTGAGAATTTTATTCCTGGATTGTGGATCACATGACATTTTGATAAACTGATAGAAAGAACATGCTAACTTAGAACAATTTCGCACTGAAGACGGAGGCCATAAAATGGGACCTGTCCCTCACCCGTAGCACAGAACAGAAAGGAAACGCACGAAGACACTTGTGTGCGATCCTTCAGCGTTACCCGTCTTGCCCCTCCGGTGGAATCCCCATTTCCACCTGCAATCGGTACCTGCCGTGCTGTGTCCCACTTTCAGGTCCGCACTAAAGAACCCAAAACAGCTCTCCAAAGTCAAAATACGCTGCTCGATGCTTGGGCGCCGGACGAAGGGGCAGCTGATAAAAAAGTTCTCTGCTTGCTTTCCAGATGTGGATCAAGACAGCCCCAGGGTCTTATTCCCCCCCCCCTTTTCGGCCCTTCCTGTAGCTATTTGATACGATGGTGGAACTGGACCACAGCTTTTTCCTGGTCGTATGTCTCTATGGAACCGGGGCGCAGCTTCCGGATTTCATGGATGGCATCCACCCCAGAGATCTTCTGGGTTTTCGCCAAGTAACAAGCCAGCATGGTGCCGGTTCGACCAAATCCTAGCAAGCAATGCACAGCAGCTGCCTGGGGGGTGGGGGAGAAGAGAGAGAAAAATTCAGCAAAGTATTGGGATAGATGTAACTCCCACCAGGTTCCTTTTTTTCCTCTTTCTTTCAAAAGACCTTCACGGAGAGTGTCGGAAGAGAACCTCTGGATGGGACCCCAGATTCATTGTTTCAAACAAACTGGCTAAACAGGAACCAAAAACACAAGCCGCCCACATCTGCGGGATCCATAACCACCGATTCACT